AGAGTCGGAAAGCGACGTTCTAGGCGAAAGTTAGAAAAAAATAGAGGAAAAATTAAAAGAGTGCACTTAAAAAGCATGTGTGCGTAGGTACCTATATGAATGTGGAGGAGGCGAGAAAGGTGAGTCAGGATCGTGCCAAATGAAAGTCTGTAGCCTACCCCTTTGGGTGATAGGCGTGAGTGTTTATGGATATGATTGTATTATATTTACTATTAGATATTTTGATCAATGGGCCAATCACTTTAGAATTGGACAGGGTTTTTTTTTACTCAAAAAATTGTTCGGGTTTACAGAGAAAATCGCTGTACTGGGAATTATACTATAAAACAGTAAATTACTAAAATGACGATGCAGTTCTATTTTATATATGAATAAGGGTGAAAAATGAGCAAATTGACCAGTTTTATTAATGTAATTAAGGTGACTAACGAGCACACAGTCCACCTGACGGTAAGTGGATGCTGTGGCCCATAGACGTCTAAATTTATCCACGATTAAGAATCAAAATGTTGTCATCCTACTAAAATCTTTCAAGTGAATAAAAGGGTGAATAAAAATAAAAGTGTCTTCTGTTCTCTTCACTCATCATACGAAACACAGCATTAAGTTGCTATTTTTACCCTGGCCAAATCTTCCCATTTGTGCTGCAGCTATATATGAAACTGCAGCGCGGCTCTACCGCATAACAAATAAAATTATATGATGTAATGGCAATGATAAAAATCGAGATATTAACATGTTATCGCTACTGCACCGACAGTGACCTCAAAATGGCCGACACTCGCATACACTTTCATTTTTCCATAAATTCTGTTTACGAGTTTTCGCTGGACCGCAGATGCGTAACTATGCAATCGGTATTTTAAAAATACAACCGGTTTCAGTTACAGTTAAATTTTACTCTTCCAATAAAGTTAATATAATAAAATAATAGTTGTTAACATTTAATAGAACCAGGCGTTATTTTGCGCAAATCCATTATGTTACATCATTTTATTTTATTACGCAGATCTTAGATAAGCATTTTTTAACATCCAAGAAATAGTTTTTTTTTACAATCCTCAAGCAGTACGTTTTTTTTTAAATAAAGATTGTGTAAACTTAAAAACTTAAACAAAGATTGACAGTAACCCCTGAAAAGAGATGGCCTCTACCAAGCTATTTTGTAATACGATTTGTATAATTAATTATATAATGTAATACTTCATAATAATAACTGTTTTTAATATGTTGCTAGTGGTGTTCCAGAAGATTTAAACAATGGCAAATTAAACTTTAGAATGGCTTTCAATAAGTTTTATTTATAATTTCTATGGAATTTAAAAAATCTATTTATATTTGTAGCTGTTACATACTAAAGTTCTTAAGAATCTTAAAAACCCAATTATTTGTTAAAGCAACATAACGTGGTAGAGCTATGCTGCAATTATATTAGTGGTATAGTTGTAGCACGAATGGGTTGGCTTGAACGGGAAGGACCACGGTCCCACAGAATACCAGCGTAAAATAGTAGCTTAATGCCGCTGTGTTTCATATGGTGAGTGTAGAGAACCGGAGATCCTTTTCACTGGAGACGAGGCATTCCATCTTAGTCCTCACGGGTGACAACACATCTGCATTTGGATTTGTAATCGAGGATAGATGTAGATGTCTATGGACCGCAGCAACCACTTACCATCAGGTGGACTGTGTGTGTGACATCCTTATCCTATAGAAAAATAAAGAAACAGAGAAGTGTTATCATAAAAATAGTCAACAGTCGAGTCATATCCGAGGCTCTACTTTAGTTGTACTCTGTGCTCTAATTTTCGTGGAAATTTTGATTGACTCCACGAACAGGACATGGAGAATAAGGGAGAGAGAGAGTTAGATTAAAATCTTGTCAAATAAGACACAATGATAAATTTTGGCGGGAACATGGTTGCCAACGAATTGCTGCTCCTGTAACGTTTAAATAATCGTTTGAAGTGGATATTTATATGTAAAATGGTGCCTTTTTGTGTATTAAATATGTGCGATTGTCAAATATTGGTGAAAACGATGAAACAAGCGCTCCGATGGTGATGTAAGCCTCAAGTTATTGTGCTCGCTAAGGTGCCATCAGATACTATCGTCTTTGACTGTTTAATGGCTCAAGCTGCTGTAAAAATCTCTTAAGAACTTCGCATGTGGCGCATCAATATATTGTGAAAAAGTTTCCAGAAGAAAAATAATAATTTTATATTATTTCTTGACACTGGCATAAATACAACCCTACGAGTCTATTACCAAAGAAATAAAGAATGACACAATGAATACAAAATGGCGATAAACTTAATATATTATTTGGAATTTTAATATGTTAACGTTACGTTGCTTTTTAATGAATATCCAATATCTGCAACCATGACCTGAAATTTCGAGTTTCGTTAGTAAATGTTTGAACACATTGAACACAAAATTGACACACTGACCACGGGATCAAGAATTTTATAATGTTGATTGCTTATTTAACGGCTATTCAAATTTTTGTAAATTATATAATATGGATACGTTTTCCGTACGTAGGAATTTATAGTTATACGCATGACTAATGTTATGACAATGTTACGTAACATTTAAAGGTTGTCACTTGATCAAATTCCACCTTCATTGATTATTGTATTGATACTTGTATTAGTTTTACTATAACTTCTTAATAAATTAGAGCTGATTTTTAATCATCATAAGGAAATTATTTTTATTTCAATTGTTTCACTTTTATAATCAGTTAAGTTTAAGTTTTTAGATATATATTATGCCAATACCTGTTTTACCGGACGATAGCAAAATTAGTCCATATTATATAAATTGAATACTTTCGCCGTATAGCTTCATCTGTTATAATAATTGCTTATATTGTAATGATTTCTTAGGTTTACATGACTTTTTTTATAATCGGAATCGCTATATGGGCACATCTCTGGAAGTATACTTTATTGGTAAACAAATAGTTGGACGTAATTCAGTCTGTGCTTAGTTTCAACTATCAAATAATCATCAATTAGATTTTTTATTTAAATAACATATCTATCAGAACAGATTTCAATAAAAGAAATAACCATTTTGATATGTATTATGCCATAAAGCATCGAATTAAGTTATTTCAAAGATGTTATTAGTGTTCCTCCTCGAGATATGCGAGACGAAAAAGTTTAGCTAAAGTACGAACTACGAACATGTGAACCACAGACGTTCTTTTAAAAGCTGCACACTCAGTCTCTACAGACCTTAAAACGTAAACGTACATATATTGAAATCGGATTTTCAAATAACGTACCCATTACAACTATTTCTAACGAGCTTTCCGGGTTCGTTAGAAGCTGGCAGCAACGAATTACAATTTTAAGTACTGATTTATCACGTGCTCATTGGTGAAGGAAACCCTTATCGTGCATGTCTGAGAAATTAAAAAAAAGTTTTGAAGACATCTGAAGTCCACAACACGCATTGGGGCAGCACGATGGACTCTTTTTATCCCTAAAACTCTCTGAAATGAAAAGAGGAGGAGCCCTTTGCCCAGGAGTTTAATGTAAAAAGCTGTATCTTACTTTACTTTTACGTTAATTTCCAAATAAAAAGTTAAAAGAATATACAGTGCATTTGATGATCTTATGAAGCATGCTAAAAAGTATTATTAAAAAGAAACATGACATTTACTTGAGTAGATAAAGATGATAGTTTTCTATAGTAATAAAAAATACGCAACATGATTAACACGATCACAAAAAATCGTATATTAAACCGGTGTTGTATATTCTGTGGCTCACGCCATTGTAATTTGGCGGTCGATTTTGTAATTCGGCATCGACTTTGACATCTTTTGAATTATGCGCTAAAAACATTTTCGACAGTATTTCAACATATTCGTAACTTTCGATTTTAGAACAATGGTGAAACTCTACCTACTGGCGCTTCAATTAGGATATTCTCGCCTTTGACACATCGTCATAAAATATTTGCAAGATTTCTCACAAAATTATGTTGTCAAATCTTTAGGTGTGATAGTTTTCACGCGCTTAAATGTGTTTAAGGAATTTGAACTTTATTACATAAACTTAAAAAGCTTTACTAAATTTTGTAAAAACGCAAATATATAATTCAGCATCTCAGCAACACTGGTAGGTTTAAGTACGTTTCTTTCAAGTTTTTGGAGGTCAAAAGGTTGAATTATGTAATCTATAAGATTTGTACTTTTCTTAAAAACATACTCAATAATTTATATATATATATATATATATATATATATATATATATATATATATATATATATATATATATATATATATATATATATATATATATATAGATTATTCGAAAAACTGATGGCCAATGTTTGACCAAGATCCCTGATGTTAAATGGTTATAAGTTGCTAGATGGTAAACACGTTAGCCTAGAAAATACTTAATCACTCTTGCCTTGAAGAATCTCAAATTGTCTTCAGGGAAAACTGACGCGGATGAATGAATGAATTAAAATGAATGAAATGAATTGATTATGAATTCTAATATTCGCTGTGTGTACAACAATGACATTTGTTGTACCAAATGACGTAAATTCTTAAAATTCTTTACAATATCAGTTAACAATTAAATATGATTAAAATCGATAGCTGGTAAGAGGTTTCAATGAGGAATTAACTATTGGGTGCGCTATTATTGAGCTTGATATATATTATTGTTGCAGAACAAATGGTTAGGCTCGATTAGGGAAGGACTCTCACAGAATACCAGGGTTAATAGCAGATTTATGCTCCTGTGTTTCGTATGGTGAATGTAGAGAACCTGAGACCCTTTTTACTGGTAACGAGGTTTTCCATCTTAGTTGTCGGGGGTGACAATGCATCGCCATTTTGATTCTTAATTGAGGATAAATATAGATGTCTATGGGCTACAGCGTCCACTTGCTTGGGTGGACTGTGTGCTCGTTTTTCATTATGATACTGTAAAAAAATACAATAAAACCACTATAAAAAACTTACCTTGCAAGACCTGCTTGCCCCAACCAGTCACTATGCACTGGCCAGCACCGCTGTAGAACGCGTCCAGGTTGTCCTTGGCATCTGGCATGCAAATGGGCTGGATGTTATCCGCCAATCTCAAGTTCTCGGAGAGGTAGAGAATAGCGACATCGTATTGGAGGCTTCCTGGCTGATATCCCGGGTGGATTACGATAGTCTTGACCTGGACAATCTGGAATGGTAGAGGTTCGTCGTCGATTCCGAGCTTCCATTCACCGCCTTTGATGAGAACGTTCTTGGCTTCCAATCTGTAAAAATAAAATGGTTAAGTAATGTTATAGTTTAATAAATATAAAGTTACAGCCTATATACGTCCCATTGCTGGGCACCGGCCTTTGCTCATTTCTGAGAGGGTTTAAGGGTAAGATACGAAAAAAAATTTACGTGTTTCGCACATACGAATCAAGTCCATCACATCGCAGTCTACTTCAACTAAGGATCTTTCGTGTAGAGGCGAAACACGTGTCGTATTATTGTCGATGGTGTGTCCATCCTAGTGTAGTGGTGTTGGGAGTAGTGGTGCTGGGATAAGTGGTAAAACGGGGATACTACACGCAATTGAAATAAGGTGGAAGATGCTTTTTAAACTAGGTAAGACACATTATTTTATTTTATTTAGCGGATCTAAGCTGGACATTTTTATTACATCTTTAGATTATTATCAAGCTTTGCACTTGGATACCTACAGCGTTGATTAAATACTCAAAATTTAATGTTAATGGCGGCTCCATGGCGCTGTGGCCCAGTAATGAGTTGCGGCGTTAAGGGCCACGGGTTTGAATTCCGCACGGAATAAATATTTGTTTGGCCTACAAATAATTGTTCCAGGTTTGGAAATTCATATATTTAAAGTCATTCATATATATAAACTGTTCCACCGATACAGGAGGAATTCCTGGTCAAAATATAAAGGATCCACCGTCTTACCCGTCGACGCATGCAGCAGAGGTCACGACAACATCGGGCCTGGTGATCACACCACCACAGAGCAGGCTCTTGTTGGTCTGCAACAGCACCATAGCCTGCCATGGGATCTCGGCGAACGCCACGTCGTCCTCACGGTTGCCGTACGGTCTTTGGGGCTGTTAAATGAATATCAAGGATAAATTTAAAAGTCATTTGGGTTTGTTTTAAGCCATAATTGGTACATTAAAAAAAGATATTTTGTTAGGTAAATATTAAGAGACGAGAGTCTGGTGATTAGCCATACACCTAGATCTTTTTTAGTGCTAACACCAGGCTCTCATAAATTGAAACGGTTATACCTCAAATAGCAATATCTATACAAATAAATAAAATGGAAGGGTCTGTTTGTCATGTCAAAATAACATCTTTTTTCTAAATGCATATGAAAGTATATATGGAACTTATAACTGTTTGTTTTGGCTAATTTCCGAAATGGCTAGACGATTTTGACGGGACTTGCTCTGGCAGATAGCTGATGTTATAGGAGTAACTTAGGCTAATTTTATTTAAGAAAATAATTTGGTTTCCGTGCAAAAAAAAATTCAAAACGCACGAAATCTAACCAACTCGGGGACAGCTTATTATAAGGCAATGTAAACTTGTAAGAGCAAAATAACAATTTTATATTTAGATTTTATAATATATTTAAGTATGTATTATCGTCTGGTTGGTTTGAATAAATATATAAAAGAAAACGACAAATATACATAAATATTCATGTAATATAGTGAAATAAATAAATAAAAACCCAATCCGATAGAAGTCCTCGGTAGAGGAGACAGAGAAAAGGAAATAAACTATCTATATATCTTTATTATAATATTACTTAGCTATGGCTTGTTCACTCAAGTCCACTTGGCTGAGGTGGCATGAGATTGCTGTTCTAGCCGTTTTGGCTTAGCCAGACCATATCCTGTACCTACGAGGGATCCACTTCAAATGGCATTCGGATGTTATCATTTGGTTGATTTCGCAGCACTCGTCTTATATACGAATTGATTTTGTCAATGATTGCGACTCTATCTCGTTTATTCATTTTTATAAGCAATAATACATTTATGTATATGCCATAAATTATATATTCACTTGAAACTTGATTCGTATGCCGATGTCATTCAAGGCAAGGAAAAATTCCAGTCAACGTATTTTGAAGCTAGTTTGAATTGACAAAACGAGTATTTTTATTTATTGTTTTATTGGTCGTGGAACCACATAATAATTATATAATAATTCTTAAATATCTAATACTTAGTGATAATAACAGGTTTCTTACTTAATATACAGAATAAAAGAAGAAAAGAGTAGCAGCAGAGACAGATTCAGATATTCACAAACGCTCATTACTGATCCATATTCCCACCAAAAAACATCACTGTGTCGTGTTTTTTTTCATTTTTTTTTGTAATATATTTTTAAGTACACCTGCCTTTTCGCCATTCGCCACGAAATCGGATCATTCTACAGCTTTTTTGTGGTTGAGGAATCTTAAAAATTATTAACCAATGGACTCGGATGAAGTTTAAAAGATTTATTTATGTAAACATGGGCACTATCATACGTTCTAGTAACCACGTACGTACCACAATGTACATGTAACAACAAAATAAAGATGCGTTGTCAACATTGACTAATGAGATTAAATTCTTCATTACTAGTAAAGACTCACAACGATCCTCGTCAGTAATCGTACGAAATACAATACTCTATTTACGCTAATATTCAGTGAGAGCGTGGCGTATAACTAACTCTCTCGGTTGAGTTTGCGATAGCGTCTGGATCATCAGATCGATTTGCAGGGGCATCATATCAGGATGGAAAAGCACTCCAGCAGGTAATTTTCCACGACGTTTATTCTTTCGTTCTTCACGCAGTTTTTTGATTAACGATGCGTAATAATCTCTTGTTATTGTTTCTCCTTTACTTAAATAGTCGATAATTATTAAACCTTTAGCATCTCAGAAGACAGAGGCCATTATTTTTCCATCAGTTGCAGACACCTTGAATATCTTGGATGGCGGGAAAGACGGTCTTTTCCATACCTTGCTTTGGTTTTTCGTCTCCGGGTCAAAATAGTGTACCCACGTTTATGATACGGTTACAAAACGAGTGCAAAAATAATCTGGTTCTTCTTCAATTATAGGTAAATTTTGCTTCGAAATATCATACCCTTGCTTTCTTTTAGGCATTTGTTAACATTAGAGAAACCCAGCGCCCGGCCACTTTTTTGAATTGTAAGGTATGACTTAAAATAAACTAAATTGTACCAAATAAAAGTTTTAGAATTTCAGCTAAATAATGGATTGACACGTTGGTCTATCTTAAAAATTTCTTTGAATTTTTTTCTTTCGTAGCGGCCGTTGTTGGCTGTCCGGAGTGTGTCGTCATTGCAGGTGGTTCTGCCACCTTTAAATTCAGCGCACCAGTATGCATCTGTAGAATAAGGCGAAGCGTTGTCTGCCAAAGTAAACTGCTGTTCTTAAAAACACTTTTTGTATAAATTTTTTTCAGGTAGAATTTACTAACCGCACGATGTTCGAGTTTCTCCATTTTGCATACGAATCGAATTCCCACCGTATGTGTGGTTTGAAAAATAAATGAGTATAGTTTTTAATTTAGTCTTTTCAGGCCCCGACTACTAACGAATTTAAGATTCAAAAAAAATTGAACGCATTTCTATACATCATTGATAATTGTCCTATTCCGAAAACTTACTGATCAATCTAGTGTGGTATAAGAGTCCTCTAACTAAAGAAGTCCGCGATTTTTGACATTTGCTTTCAAATTCCATACGTTATAATTCAGTTTGTATATTTCGGCATTCTGAACGTGTTTTGTCTATTTGTCAATCAGCTGTCAACGCTCAACCGGTATTTTTGACAGGCCATTAAAGAGATGTTTTCGTGTCTCCGTGTGTAATATATTACTCTTTGGAGATGTCAACAGATAAAATATAGCCTCATTTGGGAATTTCGACGTATTTAATTTACGGATTGGGAACATTTGTTGTATAAGTAGGGCATTTATAATTAATTAGTGAATTTTTATTGTTGTTAATGTGAACAAACTTCGCATGAGTTCATTAACCTTATGTTTTAAGTCAAAGCCGCAAAGCGATTGCTGTAAATAATATGCACGTTTTTTGTTTGTGTGTGTGTGTTACTTTCAAAGCATAACGTTCGTAAACTTTCACACTAATCACGTAGAGTGGTAGGCAGAGAGTACAAACTTCCATTTGGTATGATCCTGACACACCTCTCGCTTTATACACATTCACATATCTACACATACATGTTCGTCGTTATGGGTAATTTTAATTTGGTTCATCTTCAATATATTGACATTTTGGTTGATTAACTTCCGTTAAGGGCGTCCCTTGCCCACTCTGTCATTCATTTAGTGGCATAAATTTGTTTCTACGTGTCCAAACAACCGCAACCTTTCTTAATCCTAGTCACATCATCTTGCAAACTTCACTTTCTTCTTATCACAATTTCTCACCCTATCATACAGAGTCACCCCAACATAATTCCTAATAACCGCAATTCTAAACCATTAGTTTCACTCTCACGCTTCTTCTGTCGTACCCTACTTTCATACATTAAGGTATTATAAAACATTAATATAGGGATTAACACAGCATTGTAAATTACCATATGTGCTTTTTTGACACATTTTATAGTGAAAAGCTCCATTTACTTTGTGTCAATTGCAAACAATTGCATTCAAAATACTACTTTTATTTTTAAATTAAGACAAAACTGCTTTAATTATTGACGCATTGAGACGAGAAAGCTTCGTGTCCTTGTATTATTTTGAATGAAAAATATTTTTAGCATTTATACCATTAATATAATTAACATACTAAAACAACATGTATATTGGAAACCCCGTGTATGTTATTTTACTGATTGTGATTAATATTTATGCGATGTTTGGACACACTTCTGGTTGCAGATTAAAAACATAATTTGGAATAATTAATAACGCTGTTGTAACAAGTTTTCCTTAACCTGTGGAGGCGAATGCTCTATGGGTTGAGGTGCGGCTTACAAAAGAATAAGATATAAAACTACAACCATTTGTTTAAATGAAATATATTGCATGCCGTTATTTTTATCTAATTACGATTTATGGGTATGGACTATGGACATAGTTTATAGTTTTAAAAGTAATAAATAACAATTGCCTACATTAAAAATAAAAATAAAACATTCCGGTCTTTTATCCAGTCAGTCGCGATCGTTAATTAAGTAGTCTTCTGATCAGCTTTAATAATCGGAAGCGATGTCGTGGGAAGTCATGTCGTGTTGTGATGACGTCAGATAGTCCAACACATCATACATGAGCATTATGGTAAATGCCAAAAAGATCGAATTTCGATAGATTGGTATGAGGATATGTGTAAAACGTGTAGTGGCGATATAAAGATATCCACTATCCTATATTGTCCCGTGAGTGTGAAAAAGCGACAGTAGCCTAATGGCAGGGCGCAGACCGCGAACTCAAAAAGGTCGTGGGTTCAAATCCACCATTCGACTACTGGCGTGAACCACTCGTAACACAAGCAATTTAAGCTTACCACGAGTGGTGAAAGGGGGAATATTAGTAATGTTTGTAGCATTGTTAATATTCTTTTTATATAAAAAAAAGTACAAGTAAGTGTCGCAAGAGCCTAGAGATAAAGTAAAACAGAAGACGATTTAAAATAATAAAAAACTGCGGTTGCCACATCACTGCTAAGCGTGGCAACTATGGCAAAATTCTGTCTATTAGGCAATCTATGGGAGACCTATGATCAGCAGTAGATTTGTTAAGGCTGTAGTGGATGGATGATGCCAGACGTAAATACCCAGATTGGCGATAGGGAACAGCATCAGAATTGAAAGATATTTGTTACTTCGATTGCCAATCTGCCTGCCAAGTGTGAGGATTAAGAAAAATCTTCCCTTCAACTGGAGAGGCCAATGACAGAAGCCAGAAAGAGAAGAAGTCGAGGCGAACTCTTCTATACACTAATTCTCAACATCAACTTCAAAATGTGAAATTATTAATTCTTGTTAATTCTCTGAAGTCGACTTTTACTTTTAGTAAAAGTTAAATTCTAAAGTCTGGCAACCCTAACGAAGGGCGTGTATTGTGACGTAAAATAATTATTGCCGCGTTCGAGAGGACACCGCCTAAAGGTACTTTTACGACCTTTATGTATGACGGTTAAAAAGAGATTATTAATTACTGCTACTATGTAAGGCTATTTATTATTTATATTAATATTATTTAACGTATGTTAAAATGTCTGATTTATGTAACATAATTTACCATCTGATTTGTAAACTGATTGACTTTGAACCTTAGCCTCTGTGATGCAATAATTTGGCATTTCGTTAGCAATTTGTATTATTATAATATTTTTCATATGTCCACTGGAATAATATGGATTGTATAATTTATTTACAATAATCTATTTTGCGTAAACCGTAAATTATATTCTTTGAAATCATCATCAAGCAAGGAAGAATAAGTGGGTTGATATAATTTACTCAGAGACAGGCAAAGACTTAATTTACTCAGAGATAAAATTGTATATCTATAACAGGCTCATACTGATCTGGGACTTATAGGGGAACTTATAACAAAAAGAATGAGCCTACGAATGAGAATTACTTTCTTAGCATGTCATGTCAAGCGACTAATGGTAGGTATACTGGATTTGTGATCATGTAAGCCATTATTTACTCAGAGATAAAATTGTATATCTATAACAGGCTCATACTGATCTGGGACTTATAGGGGGAACTTGTAACAAAAAGAATGAGTCAACGAATGAGAATTACTTTCTTAGCATGTCATGTCAAGCGACTAATGGTAGGTATACTGGATTTGTGATCATGTAAGCCATTATTTACTCAGAGATAAAATTGTATATCTATAACAGGCTCATACTGATCTGGGACTTATAGGGGAACTTATAACAAAAAGAATGAGCCTACGAATGAGAATTACTTTCTTAGCATGTCATGTCAAGCGACTAATGGTAGGTATACTGGATTTGTGATCATGTAAGCCATTATTTACTCAGAGATAAAATTGTATATCTATAACAGGCTCATACTGATCTGGGACTCATAGGGGAACTTGTAACAAAAAGAATGAGCCTACGAATGAGAATTACTTTCTTAGCATGTCATGTCAAGCGACTAATGGTAGGTATACTGGATTTGTGATCATGTAAGCCATTATTTACTCAGAGATAAAATTGTATATCTATAACAGGCTCATACTGATCTGGGACTCATAGGGGAACTTGTAACAAAAAAGAATGAGCCTACGAATGAGAATTACTTTCTTAGCATGTCATGTCAAGCGACTAATGGTAGGTATACTGGATTTGTGATCATGTAAGCCATTATTTACTCAGAGATAAAATTGTATATCTATAACAGGCTCATACTGATCTGGGACTTATAGGGGAACTTATAACAAAAAGAATGAGCCTACGAATGAGAATTACTTTCTTAGCATGTCATGTCAAGCGACTAATGGTAGGTATACTGGATTTGTGATCATGTAAGCCATTATTTACTCAGAGATAAAATTGTATATCTATAACAGGCTCATACTGATCTGGGACTTATAGGGGAACTTATAACAAAAAGAATGAGCCTACGAATGAGAATTACTTTCTTAGCATGTCATGTCAAGCGACTAATGGTAGGTATACTGGATTTGTGATCATGTAAGCCATTATTTACTCAGAGATAAAATTGTATATCTATAACAGGCTCATACTGATCTGGGACTTATAGGGGAACTTATAACAAAAAGAATGAGCCTACGAATGAGAATTACTTTCTTAGCATGTCATGTCAAGCGACTAATGGTAATAAATACTGGATTTGTGATCATGTAAGCCATTATTTACTCAGAGATAAAATTGTATATCTATAACAGGCTCATACTGATCTGGGACTTATAGGGGAACTTATAACAAAAAGAATGAGCCTACGAATAAGAATTACTTTCTTAGCATGTCATGTCAAGCGACTAATGGTAGGTATACTGGATTTGTGATCATGTCAGCCATTATTTGTACCCATATTTTTGGCTAAACGTTTTGAATTCTGCCTACGACCTCGGGGTTTACAGGCCTGAATTATATGTTCGTATTAAATTGTAAATACATGAATTTAATTCGATCCTTATATTGACCTTATAAAGAAAAGTGGTGTCTTATAGAAATATAAGATACCACTTTTCTTTAGATAACGATGTTCCCCTGGTCGATTCTAAGTCGTGCTCTACGGTGACAAGATACAAATATTTTAACTGGTTTTTAGTCCCCGACGTTTTGGATGTTTAACAGAACTACGGTCATAAATTACCCAATCTACATCAGCATATATATTCATCATTAACATTGCAATCTATCAAAATTCACCGCTGAACATAAACTTTCTAGATAGATTTCTCTATAGGGGTTACAAGACTTGGCAACCAGCTTTTTTGGATTTGTTATCAGGAATAAGCTGCTGCCCATGTCCTGGTTTATTTCTTTCTCTCTTCTCGTAAGACACCCACGGGATGATATATGTTTGCGGATTCTCTTAGGCCGCCACCAAACGGAAAAACTAAATTATGCAATCAATCAATTATAATCTATATATCTGAGATCAACCTTCAGCTTAGGCTTATGATAAATTCTTGTACTAGAAATTAGTGGAATAGTATACACAACTTATGTTAACCCTTTTGAAATTAATTTCATTTAATTTTTATGCAATAAGGGTGACAAACGAGCATAGTCGACCATACCCATAAATATTTGCATTTATGCTTCATTAAAAATAAAATGCAGATGCGTTGTCACTCCCGAGGACTAAGATGGAATGCCTCGTTTACAGTATAAAGAGTCTCCGGTCCTCTATTCTCACCATACGAAGCACAGCAGTAGTGAGCTGCTATTTAACGTTGGTATTCTGTGAGAGCGTGGCGAGCGAGCGAGCGAGTTGACCCATTCGTGCTACAACCATAATATAGCTGCAACGTGGCTACGAGTTTAAGAAATCTTTATATAACTTACATGTTTAATTCCACACTGGCCAGTTCCATCGTATCGCTGTAGGTAGACCCTGCGAGTGGATTCGCTGTACTCGTTCTCTACGGCGGAGCCCACACCTTGAGAGACCGCGAGGCCTACACCTTGACGAATGCCTACGCCGCCGCCCTGCACTATCGTTTGTCCCACACCCTGCTGGGTGTACTGGCCTCCACCCTGTTCAGTGTACTGTCCACCGCCGGTTTCAACGCGCTGTCCGAACCCTTGGGAAACCAGGCCGAATTTGGTGCCTTGGCCCTCACCCTGCTTCACAAATTGACCTTGTCCTTGTGAAATTATCGCACCCTGGTGACAAATAAGGCACTATGTTATAACTAAGTGAGGGTAAGAGGATGTTCAATATTTGATGATGGAGTGTTTAAAATATAAATGTAAAAGAGACTCGTTAATGAGGAAACTAAAATTAAAACACAACAGGGGCCTGATCTAGGACTATACTGTGGAAACCTGCATCAGCTGTCGTTAGGGTGTTTTAAGAGCTTCTAGTCACAATAGCTACCACTATAATAAAGGTTGTGAGACGTTAGAGTTGACTACAGATACCAGCAGGTGGGTAGGTCGCAGTGGCCATTAGAACTTAGGACTACGGTTTAAGAGTTTTATGTTTATAGTACCTGGATGACCGAGCTTTGCTTGGTATTTTTTTTTTGTAAATTATAGTTAGATACAAATTACATACTGAAGAAATGTGAATAAAATTTTTCGATCTTCTCGGTCATTATTTTTCGTGTTTTTAAAAAACTATACAAAAAATGGCTCCAAATAATATATTTTCTCATAAAAGAAGGAACTTGAAAAAAAAAGGAGAAAAAAAGTCAGCTCGGAGACAATTTGGACTATAAGCAGCGTCCTGAAATTTCGAGACCGCCCGATATCCCATTTGAGCTGTTATAACCTTTTAGGCACGGGCAAAATTTACCTTCGTTCGTGTGTCTAATGATATTGTAGCAGTTTTTCATTGCCTGAAAACATGGATAAAACGAAATTTTCTAAAAATGAATCGATTTATTGGCCCCGAAACCCCCTGTATACTGAATTTCATGAGAATCGTTGGAGCCATTTCCGAGATTCCGATTATATATATATATATATATATATAATACTATATATATATATTCATACATATATAAAAAGTATAGATGTGAGCCAATATAATATAGAAAAAGATATACAAGAATTTTCAAAAAACAGCTAGATCGAATTGCCCATAAAATCGGGCTTCGAGATTCATTTAAGGGTATAGGATTAGATATTACATTAGATAAAATAGATTTAAGTTCTTACCCCTCCTTGACTGATTCCAATGCCTTGTCCTTGGACGCCAATCTGACCTTGACCTTGGACGGTGAATTGACCTTTACCTGCATTGAAGTGTATTCATCAACATTGGACACAATTTAACACTGGTGTTGCTTTTTAAGAAATATATAGAATAATAATATATAGAGTATAGAGTAATATTTTAAGTAATATATAGAGGTTTTATAGTTAATTAAATAAATATTAGGTACTTAACTTAATTAATTTAGTTTAAAGTTTCTAATTAGGATTTTTTTATAATAATATTTCATATTTACGCGAACACTTCACATCAAATGAAACAATTTTTAAGGATCGTTTAATTTCAACTATTTAAAGTTAAAAATTATTAGTTAAAATTAATCAAAATTATTTATTTTTTAATATTAGAATCATGCATGTACCGTGCCTATATATATATATATATATATATATATATATATATATATATATATATATATATATATATATATATATATATATATATATAATTAATTGAACAGTAATGAGTAATTAAAGGTTGTTAATAGTTTACCTTGACTAATGATTTGCCCTCGACCTCCCTGAGAGTATTGTCCGAATCCACTTTGGGTGTATTGGCCTACTCCCCCTTGTCCAAACTGTCCAACACCGGTTTGGATAATCTGACCTACACCCTTCTGACCGTATTGACCAACGCCTGTTTGAGTTACTTGTCCAATACCACCTTGACCGAATTGACCCACACCACCCTTACTGTATTGCCCTTGACCGTATTGAGACACTTGTTTAATGCCCGTTGTGATTTGCCCACCTTGATCTGGGTAACCTGGTGTCACTTGGTTCGGTCCAAAAGTAGGTGTTGTCGGTTTTGGATTCCTGCGAAAAAAGCACTTTAATAATGTTCGAGTCGTAAAAATGTGTAAAACACAATTTCTTTCTCATTCGCTTTCTCATTTTTCACCACTGAATGTAGACTTTCCTCAAGGAATGTCACAAATTGTATACTTACATTAGTAGTATTCCGAGGGATATTTTTTACGTTCACATTTTACTATCCTCTCCCCCCGAAAAGCTGCGAATTAATTCTAAAACCTCACATCTATTTGTAAATAACTAAATTATATATTATATAAGAATGCGAAATTTCAGTTACATAAGTGTAGAGGTATATAACTAATAAACAGACAGATAAACACAAAGATAATTTAATAAGGTGTCCGTTTTGTTGAATTTAGTACAATAGGGATAAAGGACGCCATTTTTTGTGTGTGAGTGCTGTGTTTCCAATAAAAAGGGTCTCCAGTTATCTGCTCTCACTATACGAAACACATTATATGCACACATATATATACAATATTTTACGTTGGTATTCTGTGAGCGCGTTCTATCCCGGTCAAGCCGAGTCAAGTCAAGGTAATATTGTAGCAATAGCATGACTCTACCACGTATAAAAATAAAGTTTACATGTAATGCTTCAAAATTTTCTTACCTAAAGTTATTTAGGATAGTGCTTCCAGTGACGAAGGGCTTTGACGTGACCTGTGGTCTTGGGTTGTTAGGGCTGCCACGGTTGTCGGGAACGTATTTGCCATCGTTGCCACCGAACACACCGGGCACCCATTTGCCAAGCTGGTTGGTCGGCCATGGGTCGGTGTAGTTTGGATCACGGCAGCATTTTCCAACGCGGTTTGTTTCAGCGTCCTTGCAGTCCTGTTTTAATTTTATAAATTATTAGAATATATAAGAAAAAAATTATATTTAAGATCCGATTGCAAAAAGATGAGTGTATCGCTATGTAGGTAAGCTATCTCAGGTTTATTTCTTCTGATTATACTTTGTTGAGAAGCAAAAATCGTCCAATGCTTGACTATCATTCCACATGCTGGTAAAGTGCACTTATCATAACAAAAGTCTATTCACTCTTGATTTTATGATTGCCACATTATAATCGGAAAGACTGATGCGGGCAGATTTTTCTAGTGCTTTACTGTATGCATTATGAAGAAGCAGACTGTAGTGGTGTTGGGACAGTATTGCCAGTGAAATTATTGATAGGAAAGTACTCTTTCAACTAGATAAATATAAAATTTTATCTTGCTACATACTGGCATAGTACAGAAGTACATAGTCATATTTATACTACTACTGTACTGGCATAGTACAGTAGTAGTAAAAATATGACTTCCACCTACTTTTGTTTTTTTACACTTGCATAAGTTTGGTATGTTTATATGGTCAGGTTATTTTCAGTAAACAATCAGGTCCTAAACAGTAACAGGACAGTAGACACAGTATTGATTTTCAAACATCGCAATAAGGTTTCAAGCAAATTGGGCACAGGCCCCTAACATAAGTCACAGCCTATATACGTCCCACTGCTGGGCACAGGCCTCCCCTCATTTCTGAGAGGGTTTTAAGGCAATGAAGTGTCCAACGCGCTGCCCCAATGCGTGTTGGCGAACTTCACATTCTTCGAAATATTTTTATGGTCTTATTTCTCAGATATGCAGGTTTTCTCACGATGTTTTCCTTCACTACCGAGCACGTGGTAAATCAACAATTAAAATTGCAATTAACATTTTCATTGGTGCCGGCGGGGATCGAACCCGTTTGCTCGCGTACTGTGAAATTTACAGCGAGAGCTAGCCATTCGAGCTACCACGGCATCTAACATACTTTTACGAAATACATAAATTCACAAGATTTCTTATATTTACTCGAAAACTACACATAGAGTAGAACAAATTTTACGGATTTTGTCGCTGATGTGAAGCACAGACGCTCTGGGAAGCCTGACATGTTCAGGATTGTCCCAACCATTAATCCACAAAACCTTGCAAAAGACCATCGATTAAAATACTACCAAGGATGATTTGCGAGGTTATTGAAGTAATGCATATATCACTAAAACGCCGACAGTTAAAATAAACGTGATAATATCCGAAAATTAGTTTTCTTGTTAGAATAAAGGTGACTAACGAACACACAGTCCACCTGAGAGGTGGCCCATAGACATCTACATTTATTCTCGATTAATAATCAATATGCAGATGCGTTGTCACCCATGAGGACGAAGATTAGGTGCCTCGTTTCCAGAAAAAAGGATCTTTGGATCTCTACACTCACCACACGAAACAAAGTAGCATTAAGCTGCTATTTTACGCTGTTATTCTGTGAGAGCATGGCCCGTCCCTGTTCGAGTCGAACCATTCGCGTTGCGACCATAATATATATGCAGCATGGTTCTATCACATACAAACTAATCTATTCAAATAAGGTTATTAACTGATCGCTCAAGACGATTCATACTCACAGTAAGAGGAACTCTGTAAGCATCTTGATCCTTGGTGAGAAATACGGTGGTGTTAGAAATGACTCCATCAGCTGTGCAGTATTCAATCGGGGTACATTTTAAGGCCGCGGCGCATCCAGAAGGAATTTCGTCTAATTAAAAAAAAAAAAACAAATCAAAGTAAACATTAATAATAAATAATAAAGTCCTCCAGACCGCATTTCGTTCATGAGGGCCAGTCTCAAAAATTTGCCAACTGCGCGGGACAGGATTATAGTGCACAAGTGTATGCGCACTCTCTATGTACTCCCTACTACCCTCTATAATCTATATCCTCACTCTCATAGTCTGATGGGACGGTAATGCGATACAAAATGCAAAAGCTTTACGTGATTTCACACACAGCCAACTTTCTGACTCTAGGCTGCTATTGAGAATTTCATAATAGAAAAACTCAATAATCGAATTTGACCCCGACCCAGGGGATTTGAACCCGGGACCTGATCATCAGCAACCGCGTTTACAATCCTTAGGTCAACGAGTCAGTCAAAGTAAACATTAAAAACAATAACTGCTATAAAATGTGCAATATTTATTTTTTATACGTGACATATGATTAATAAAAATGGAGGACCATTCATTTATATGTATATTTTGGCCTTTGCAAAAGCAATTGAAGAAATTGTTAATTTTGTGACTACAAATATATCCAGATCTGATACGTATTTTTCTTATAATTGAGCAATAAGTTAAAAAATATCCTTAATTTGACGTTTATAAAAATGTTTCAATAAGCCTAAATTAAAAAAAAATATTTTTATAGAGTAATGTGAAAACGCATTATGATTAATTTTAGGACCATTTTTATTTTCTTATTTTATTTATTTGGAAGAAGAAACAGTTACACAATATTATAATAATAAACTTTCATACAAATGTTGTTATATATATGTAACAAACACCGTTATTCACAGTTTGGTAACTAATATGGATACCTGGTTTCCAGTAAAAAGGGTCTCTGGTTCTGTACACTCACCGTACAAGCTGCCATTTCGCGCTGGTATTCTGTCAGAGCATTCGTCGGTCCTTTCCCGGTCGACCCGACCCATCGTTCTATAACCATAATATAGCTTCAGCACGGCTCTACTGTGTAGTGGCGGTGTAAGAATACCCACTAACCCATATCATCCCGCGGGTGCCGTAAGAGGCGACAGAGAGAAACAGATCAGGAGATGGGCAGCAACGTAAACTGAAATTGCCAACCCTCTTGCTAATAGTGGCAACTATGGTAAATATCCCCCCTATGAGACAATGTAGGAGGAGTTCAGCATTGGACTTTAATATGCTGTAACAGTAACTACTCTAAAACTTAAAATTACTTCAGAAAATTATAATATTCTAGACTCCAACTATAATACTCACTTATAGTAGGCTGGCGTGGAGGCGACGGCTGTCTTGTCTCATCAAGAATAATTCCTCCTTCGTTATAATTAGGGTTGGGCACGAAGGTTTCCTGGTTTATGGTCTGTTCACCGATTGGTGGCAAGTAACCAGGAGCGGTGGTAGATGATGACACGGGTGGAAGGTAAGTCGGTCTAGGTGTGGTGAAGGTAGACACGGGACGCGGTGTGCTGACAGGACGAGGTGTTTGTGGACGGACCGTTGTGAATTGGGATACTGGACGAGGTGTGGTGAATACGGTAGAACCCACAACGTTAGTACCGCTGTTAGTGCTGTCAACAGGTGGTAGGTAAGGTACACCAGGCTTGAGGCCACTGCCAATCGTACCGGGTCTGTATACGTTTTGGTTATTAGACTGGGATGCGAAAGAGTTCGTCTCAACGAAGTTGCTTTGTCCTGTTGGCTTAAAGATATCTGGGCGTAGAGTCGAGCCGCTTGATCCCGTGAATCCTGTTGATCCAGCTGAGCTAACTGATGCAAAGGCGCTTGTTGAGGCAACAGGGACTGCTGTAACGGCAGGAACCGTTGATCCGTAGCTAGTGCCAAAGGAGCCTCGGTTGGAGTCATAGCTTGATTGGCTGTTGAAAGATGAGCTTTGGCTTCCAAATCCACTTGAAGCACCGTTCGATCCACTCTGACTACCATATAATCCCTGGTTGCCGGTTGTGCCGAAGCCGTTTTGCGATCCAAATGAGTTTTGAGAACCGTATGAACCCTTTTGGGAACCACTGGATGATCCATAAGATCCGGAAGAGAAGCTAGAAGCGGTGCTAGAGACGAGTCCTGAACCTTGGCTTACGGTGTCAGCAGTTGAGAAACCATTTCCAAAAGTTGAAGTAGAACCTAGTCTACAGCAAGTTTCAGTCCTTGTGTTGCAGAACTGCTTCTGTAACAAGAGAAAAAGAAGTTAGTGACAATAGAAAGGATATGGGCCCAGTTGCCGTGTAGCAGCGATATAAGAATATCTACCACCCATATCGTCCCGTGAGTGTCGTAACAGGCTACAGAGGGAAACTGAAATGTGAGATGGGTAGCAGCGTATTCCTGATGACAACTCGGTTGCCAACCCGCTCGGCAAACATGGCAAATTCGATAGAATCTCCTCTGTGAGGCAACCTATGAGGGACGCTTATGTTCATCAGTGGACTCTTAAATAGATTGATGGAAAAACTAAGTTAACCGTGTGAGGTGCGGCGTAAGAAAATCCCATTGTGTCCTATTGGATACCGTAATAGTTGACTGTAGGAAATACCAGAAAGAACTTATGATTTCCGAAAGATGGCGGTATAATCACTTCGGTTACGACAGACGTAATATCCTAACCGGTGACCGAGAATAACTTCCAAGGTGCGAGAAATCTGATACTAACTGATTTAATAAAGGCAAATACTCTTTACAAAGGGAGATGTCCATGTTCTACTGTGGTGGTACTTCTATAGATAAGACATAACATCTTTATTATAATTATATTTGGCAAAGTAATGCCCGATTTTTTGTAGATAACGGTGACAAAAGAGCACACAATCCACCTAATGGTAGTGGATGCTGAAGCCCACATTTCCATCTATCCTCGATTAAGAAATTTTGATTGAGAATTAAAGTGCAGATGCATGTCACTATTTAGAACTAAGATGGAATGCCTCGTTATTAGTAAGAAGAATTTCGGGTTGTGTACACTCATTAACCATACGAAACACAGCAGTAATATGCTGGTGTTTCACGCTGGTATTCTGTGAGAGATTGGTCCTTGAAACCGGTTGATCCGACCCATTCGTGCTGCATTCATGTTATTTTATTAATTATCAAAAATTAATTAATAAAATTATTGACGTCATTATCAAAGTCTATCAACGAAGTCATTGATTATAAATGTTATTCTTCAATAGTATATTGAGCTTTTTCGCAATCGCAAATTCAGAATAGCTATTGCCATCTAATCAGTGCTTAATTGTAATACATCATTTCTAACCGCTATTCATTACAAAACATTATTTATTATCTCTCAGTTTCTATCTTGATTAGTACTGTTATTTAATACAGGGTTATCTTGCAACAACCGGCCAAATTTGCAGAGCAAAGAATAAGTTATTATAGGCAAGTGGTGAAGTAAAGTTAATTAAAAAATCTCAAGCATTTGTCCTTTTTATCTTTTAAATTTGCAAAAATGCGTGGTAATGCATAATTTAAACTGATTTTACTGCGCACGCACACATTCGTAAGGGTCGATCGATAGGCAAAAACGTTGTTCTCCAGAAAAGTTGTTAAATTTGGGATATTTTCAAATAAAATTAGAAGCTTTATTTAGTATTTCCAAAAACTTCTATAATCCCACCCCCCCCTCTTACTCATTTCCTCTCCACCCACCCCAAGGAGCCACCCCGATATATCATTATTTATATATTTGAGCTTAAGTTTAAAATTTTGCTACTAATTGAAAAATAGCCCTGTATATTCGATCAAGTTTATAAACAATATGATATACTTCTAGTCATCAATTTTAAAGACTTTTTTGATTAATGTATTGGAAGTGACTAACAAACTTGCAGTTCACTTGATGGTATGTGGCTTCTGCAGTCCTTTGACATTTGCAACCAACTTCTTGACTTGCAAAACTACTATATATAATTACTAGTTCTCTCATATCACACAATTTCTCACCCTATTTTTAATAGAAGAAGGGTAACAAACGAGCATACAGTCCACCTGATGGAAAGTGGATGCTGTGGCTCACAGACATCTATCCTCGATTACGAATTAAAATGCAGATGGTTTATCACCCCTGAGTATTAAGATGAAATGCCTCGTATCCAGTTAAAGGGGTCTCCGGTTTTCTGCGCTCATCATACGAAATACAGTAACGTTTAGCTGATATTTTACGCTAGTATTCTGTGAGAGCGTGGTCCTCCTCTAGTCAAGCCAGTCCATTAGTGCTACAATTATGGACTCGAAGATAAATGTAGATGTCTATGGGCCACAGCATCCACTTACCATCAGGTGAACTGGGTGCTCGTTTGTTACCCTTATTCTATAAAAAAGTAGAAATCATAATGCTTCTTGGATTACAAACTTCAACAATAAAGTTGTGGATACGACGTAATATGGAAATTTAAGTACGGAACCCTGAATAACATTTACATTATGTTTATATATTGTTTCGTAACGCTAAAAGTAAATCGTCAACATCGCTGGCGTTATTACAAATGGTACTACCAGAATACTGTATCAGATAAAAATATTCGACAAGGACGCGTTGCTCTTAGTCTGGAATACCACATTCCCAGCTGCTGCGAATATTGGCTCGGTAATCGAACCGGCATCCCCGCTGGCTACACGGCCCCCTTGCGTCGGGTCAACCATGTCCATCACTCATACTGCAGTTGCGTGTGAGTACATTTAAGTAGAGAAGTACTTCAATTAAAATAAGCAAAATTATGTATTTAATTTTTTTAAAGCAATATTTTTAAAGTAAGGGTGACAAATGAGTTCACAGTTTATGCAACGGTTCTGACTAATGGACACATTTTATCCTCAATTAATATAAAATGCGATATCTGTCAACCAGTAAAAGGGGGTTTCCAATTTTCGTTATTCGCTAAACGAGATATATCATCATTATGTTGTTATTTTACACGTAGTCGATACGTAATTGAGTTGGCTGTTTCCAAAAATCAATTTACCTTCATCATATTATTATTTATTTACTTACATTTTCCTTATTAAAAAGTATGAAAAAGGCCTAATGCCTTAAGGTAATTTATACCAGTTGTGTCCGGCCGAGTCGACCCATTCATGCTACAAACATAATATAGCTGCAGCATGTGTCTACCACGAACAAATATAAATATTACCACGCTAAAGATTTTAATAAACATCACAAAGGAGTTTTGCATGCGCCTGTACTCAAAGTCAACAAGCTTCGATGTAACACAAAAATGTATGTCACCATTCGACCTCTTCATATTGGTTTTCTGTAAAGTAAACTTTAAATACGTGCCGTTTAAAATTACGTTCCAACGCCTCTTCGCGGTTACGACACGGCTTATCTGTTTATCCTCTTTATTGATACGTCGTAAAGTTTTGTATTATTGGGATTACGGAAGAATTGTTCTTTTTTGGATATAGCCAGCCTCAACGGCCAAGTGTATGCGCAAGCACAGGTGCACTCTCTATTCCCTCACTCACATAATCCGATGGGACGGTAAAGCGACACGACCGGAGAGAGATCAGGCGCAGGACCAACGACTTAACGTGCTCTCCGAGGCAAGGGGGTGAGACACCGCTAACTTCGTGACTCCGAGCAGCTACTGAGAATTACTTGACGGATAAACTCAATAATTGATTTTTTGGCCCGACCCGGGATTCGAACATCGAGGGCCTCATGATCAGAAGTTGCACTACTATAACCACTTGACCAACGAGGCAGTCATATATCGATATATAAAGGTAACTGAGACGAGTAGACAATTATATATGTATTGATTGAGTGACGCTGTGGCTAAATTGCAAAATGTATTGTCACCTCTCTAGAAATTGGAATGACACACAGTCTATAATAATTGGCTCTTTATACCCTGCAGACCAAAGCACAAGCATGTGTCTTCTGTCTCAATACCAAGTGATTTATCTTAAGTTTATAAATTCATTGATAAAGTGGTTTGTTAATAAATCTATAAATTTACCATTAGTAATTTATATTCGATTGATCACCAGCTATTAAAACGTGCGTGGTTTCTGTTGGAGGACTAAAATTTTTTGTTATTCAGTTTTTTTTTATATTTTGAATAAAAAAGCAATGTAGGTTACAGCCTTCTTTATTTGACTTGGTTGCAGGATAACAATAATAAAAACTTTATAAACCTGGCGCATCAAAATATGTAAGGTATGTTAGGCAAGGAATTAGAAATTGAATTATTTTTAAATTGTAACAATATATTTTTTCTATTACTGAACATTGGTTGAAAATTACAACTCCATATTTAATTTCAGTAATCACCAGGTGGTCAGTTTTTTCAATAGAGATACAAAGTACGTCCCATCACGTAACGAACGTAAAGAGTTAGTTACTAAAATTTAAGAAAATAATTTTTTTATAGCAGCATTATTTGTACCGCCTTCTTCATTTTGACTTGGTTACAGGTGTCCGTGGGCTATAGTAACCACATACCATCAGGTGTACTTTAAGTTCGTCACTTGTTCGTTTGTCACCTCAATGAAAACAAAAATATAGCAGCTTCATACTACAAAACAACAGCCTTATTGCACTCTACAGTTATTTACAACTAGCTGATAATTTCAAACGCTAAAAACTTTTGTAAATAAATTACATAGCTTAAGTAGAATTATTTAATGTTTACGAGTTTGAAGTAAACATGGGAAAATAAATTTAATTATTCAAATATTATTGAGCGTTGTCCCCAATTTTAAGCAAAATTTTCCAATACTTGCAATGCAAGAGGCCTTATAAATTATAAATGTTCATTCCTCACTACGAGGTGATTGGGGGTGATGAATGTTATCTGTCAAAACGCACAAACACTGGCGACTGGCGTATACATAATGAAGTTGTGAATGAAACGTGTAATGCATTAATCAGCCATTACTTAGCTATTTATATTGAGGATTTAATGCTACTGGACTAGAAATATGACGTCTAAACTTTTAGACTTCAAAAACGGAGGACATTCTAAATTCGAATGTATGTATTTTTCTTTTCTTTTTTTGCATATTTACGCGATATCTTCGTAAGTTTCTAATAAATCCTTTTTATTAAATGAGATACTCTTCAAGGGTGGTAACACAAATTGTTGTGTGCTTGACAGTGAAGGGAAAACATTATATCGAAAACTTCATGTACTTATGGGAAATCAAAAAATATAATTAGTAGAC